TGTATTTGAGTATTTCAGGTATATCAACTGTACATCCAGACGCGCCCATTTTGTGTCTTCGCTAGGTTCGATAGACAAATGCTGTCCTTCTGAATGAAGCTACTCCTAGCTTGCTGGTTTCGCATATACGTGCTAGCTTGCTAGTTTCGCATATACGTGCTCTTGCTAGCTACTGGCTCAAGGTATCTATGAGAAGGCACCGCATGGGTCTGCTTCAGCTTCACGCATGGATGCATGCACGCATGGGTAGACGATGGATTAGTTGGCGAACCCTGCAGCAGCTGTATAGCCATAGTTGCATGCTGCCCGTCGTCCATGGCAGCAGTGATGCATGGAATTGATTTGGTCCCTCCCAACAAAGATGGCCAAGAAATTTATGGGGGCTAGACCCACAGAAGCATCACAATCAGTACCATTCATAGCACACAGTTGGCCAAGCTGGTTGTACAGTCCAAGCAGGCCATCATCTAAACTTTTTTTTTTGTTTCCTTTTTCTCCCTCAAACAAGAGCGGGGAATTTTTTATTAGTCCTTCCTCTGAAAAAAAGAGAGAATTTTCAACCTAAATTGCTAAATACGGTAGAAATTGAAGTGTTTCTGTGAAATTCCACCCTATAGCTACGTACCAAAAGAGACATCGAGGACCGTAGTTTTCCTTGAGTGATTTCTGTGAACCCAAGATGAGATGGATCCAAAGGTAGAGTCAAGAAACTGGAGGAAGAACGTACTTTTTGAATGAACCCACCCAACGTGTTTAGCGTACGTACGTACTGCGTGCATGCTGGAACCTACATGCATTGAATCTGCTGGTGTACGTGTGGCCCTTCTCTCGTTGTCGTTCCTGCTGTCTTTTTCCTGTCCTAGTGTGTTTTATTTGCCTCCCGGCTACAGGGAGTCAGGGACAGAATATAATAGTGCTGCTGCCGTTCCTGTTAGCAGTAGTACGTAATACTAGTAATTAAGTGAAGATGAGTAGTTAAAGCCTTAGCTAACCTCTCGTCGACTCGTCCTGTAAATTTATGCCGGCACTAACCTTGCACCTCGTTCGCTTGAACGTCTCTGTGGCTTATAAGTCGAGTGATGCTGTTTTATTATGAGAGAAAAACACTATATCATGACTGATAAGCATGTCTGATACGATCAAGCGAACAGGATGCTCGTTGTACTATAATGTACTCCTATAGCAGTAGCAGGTAGCACAACCGTAGCTACGTACGCACACGAACACTTGCACCGTGCATCCTCGCTTTCACTGCTACGCTAAACACGTAGCGGCTTTCGTACCCTATAGGTTATTTAATCACCACACCAGGCATGCATGCAACGAGAAACAGCGGTGTATATATGGCCATGTGCACGACGTGTCAGAGTGTGTCGTCGTCCCAAACAGAGAGCTCCGAACAGCCGGATGCATGGCCGGCCGGACCAAGAAATTAAAAGCGGCTTCTTACCATATATGATCCCGGCTAGTCCGAGTTGGTAATTTCACCGCAGGAATCGTACATAATAGAAATTAATCAATTTCCGTTAAAAAAACTTATAACACAGTAATGATATAGAAAAATTTCCGTTGTTTCCAACGGACCCTCAATGATGCTCCGAGGACATCAAAGTTTTTTTATTTTTATTTTTGTGAACTTAGGACATCAAAGTTATAACCACGGCAAACGGGATGCTCCGACGAGGACGCCGAAGTTACCATGGGGGCCTGACGGAAACGATTCATATCACACACACACTTAAAAAGGCCTTGCTGCGACGGGCGGGCGGGCGATAGACGATGCATGCGCGTGAGGCAAGCGCAGAGGCCCCCTGCATGCGCCCTGCCCCGGCCTGGCCTCGGATCCGTTCCATGCATGTATACGCATTCAAATCATGCAACGACGTCGACCAAACATGTCGTCGTGGCGTCCATATACGCCATTAATTCTTCTTGCAGAGAAGGAATGCCTGCTAATAACCTCGCCACAGGGATAATGCAGATGGACGGTCCGTACGGCGTCCAGCATCGCCTACGTGCTTGCATGCACGCAATGCAAGAATGGCCAAAAATACACGCTGCCATCGCCATGCATCTCGCGATCGACCGGCTGGGATCCGGGATCCGGCGGGGACATATCCTGCATGCTCGGGGCCGGCCGTAATGTATGCTGTCTATACTGTATGTCTGTATAGTATGCCACCCGCGTTTATGATCTGACATGACATAATTCAAGGCTATTCCTGCCTTCAATTCACCTCTTTATTATTTCCGTCGTCCTCAGTGAAATATGAATTATGTTGGTATTTTATCTCCTTTAATTAGCAATTTCAAATTCAAATAGATGAGTTCTAGTTGGGATTTCTGAGACGCATGCATGACGTTTGCAATGCGATACTCGTATAAGAGCAAGTTTAATAAAAACGCCGGCAGCAGGCTGCATACCCATGCCACATCACTCGCCAGTCTGCTGCAGCCTTCAGCAACGAAGACTGATATAGTGGGGCAGACTGTAGGATTGGCTGTAGTATTTAATGCTCAGATCAATATACGTTCAGATGTTCAGAGCATTGCGGGCTGAGAGACAAGTTTTTTTCTCGTGGCTTGTGCTGCAGCCGGCGAGAAGGGAATCGCTCGCTCCACAGTCTCTCTCCTACCGTGGCGTCTTTTTTGTCGACGTAGACTGCTCTTCGCCGGCTCAAAAGCGTTATTATACTTGCTCTAATTCAAGTGAAAAACATCTTGAGTCAAGAAACCGAGCTAGGCTGCTAGCTTGTAGTAGCAATGTCGCATAGCCGTACCAACTACTACTACCTGCAGCCGTGAAAAACAAACAGAACGATCGCGCGCTGTCTGGCGATGCGGATCGATCGATGGGATGCCACTGGACGACCCATATTGGCGCAGGCCGGAAATTACCAGGGCCATGCCCCACGGTGCCGGCGTGCAGCCCACTACGGCAACAGTGCACGGGACCCACCTGGCAGTGGCGGTGGTCCCAGTGAAAACTGAAAAGGCCTTAGGGAACAGAGGGAGAGAGACATTAAAGCACCGCCTGTTACGTCCTGTTACTGTTACTAGCCATGACAGGCCACATGAACCACCCAGGGAGCCAGTTAAAGCTTCCTTCCAAACTCCTATTTGCCTGTAGCAGTTTTTAGTTTTTACCACCGACTTCGTGCAGCTTCTTACAATACTCTCTGTTGGCTTTGAACTAATTCAACAATGTTTTTTAACGAACGAATAATGTTTTTCTCTCATAACAAATCAGTATAAGCCACTTCAGATACGTGCGTACTTAATTTCTCTATCCGTCGGTTTCCAGTTTTCTTGTAGCGAAATGGTAAGCGTTAAAGCCGTCCATGCGTGCAGTAAAAATCAAATGCAAAATTAGCAAGGAATTAACAGCGCACTAACCACTCGCAAGAGGAAATGAAGGGATAATGTGAGTACTTTATAAAGGGTTGGTGTTACCAACCAGGATTAAAGGGTCCTTTAGTCCGGGTTGGTGTTACTAACCGGGACTAAATGGTCTACCTTTAGTTCCGGTTGGTATTACCAACCGGGACTAAAGGTTGGAGGACTTTTAGTCCCGGTTGGTGGTTCCAACCGGGAGTAAAGGAACCTTTAGTCCCGGTTGGTATTACCAACCAGGACTAAAGAAACCTTTAGTCCCGGAGGCAAAAAATGTCGAGACTAATGCTAAATTGGGATATCGTTCTAAAGTCTGTTCTCTAGTAATGTTATTACTAGTATAGTATACTGTACTCCTATATATTAATGAATATGTAGTGACACACCAAATTAAAAAGGAGGAGCAGTTAGTAGATGGAGAAACATAATGCACATCACTCAGCCAGCTAGAGAGGCAGAATTGATTAGATCCATCTAACCTCTTGGAAGCTAGCACTGATAATGACCAGTGTACCCTATACACAGTGTGGCGTAGTATGGATTAGCACTGCCTATGCACAGCTGAGCAAAAGTACTACGGCAGCATGCATGCATTGACACACACACTTCACTGTGAATGTAGTAGTAGTGCGTGTTTAGTTCGTGAATTTTGGTAATTTGGCTACTGTAATATTTTCGTTTTTATTTGGCAATTAGTGTTTAATCATGGACTAATTATGCTCAAAATGTTCGTCTCGTAATTTCCAACTAAACTGTGTAATTAGTTTTTTTCATCTATATTTAATGCTTCATATACGTATCGCAAGATTTGATGTGATAGCTACCGTAACACTTTTTGGGAAACTTTTTGAGAATTAAACAAGCACGTAGTACAGTAACATACGCGCAGGCATAAGTTAGGAACATTCTTGTGGGCTTGTCTGTGGCTCGATCAGTTACCAGCAGAGTGCGGCACAGATCGGCGGCGGCGGAGCAGTAAATTGAACTCCGCGCCCCGGCCGCCGGCGTCCCATCTGCCACCTGTTGCTGCCTCAGCATGCTCTGGCGCCGCTGATCCATGGCATGGCATCTTATCCGTATATTAATTAAACCCCATATTTTTTTCGGGTGCACAGTGAGTGTTAGAGATGGAAGAAGGTGCGATCTACTCGATCCAAATAAAAGTTTCACCGCTACCCCTCTCTCTCTCCCTCCTTCCCCCCACAATCATTTGCACCACCCCTTGCCCAGCCTCTCTCTTCTCCCTCCTCTCTCTCTCCCTCTCTCTCTAATGACTATTTAACATGCAGCCTTTTGTTTTGCAGCTACCTGCCTGCATATAATTCTGTTGCCTTCTCACTCCTTTAGCTAGCTTGCTCGTCTCTCTCCCCATTGCCACCATCATCACCTCCATCTCCTCGCCATCACGCCTGCCGGCCTCCTCCTCCTCCTCCTCCTCTTTGCACCGCTGCTACAAAAGAGCACACACTTTTGAGCTAGCTGCTGTTCTGTTCTTCACAATTCACACGACGACCCTGCGGGCAGATCTTCCTTGACCTAGCCCCAGTTCATTCTTGGCGGGCTAGCTAGTAGCTAGTAGCTAGGTAGCTTAGCTACGAGCAGGCGTCTCAGCAGCCTCTCCATCTCATTACTATACTATCCATCCGATGGGCGTCGAGCTCGACCTCTCTGAATTGGCCGTGCTCCGGCCGATCCAGACCGCAGCGGGCGCCGCGACGACGACGGCGGCTCGGGCCGGCGGGCGACGACGCCGACGGCCCGGACGCCGCCGACACGGGCTGCGTCACGCCGACGGCGAAAGCTCCCTGCTGCCGCGCCTGGGCCTGGGCGGCGGCGGCCTGGACATCGACGCCGTCGTCGCCCGCCTGCGTCACGCCGACGTCGTCGCCGTGCCTGCTACGGCCAGCCCAGGTGTGCCCTCCGGCGCCACGAAAGCCGGCGAGGCCCGCGCTGCCGCCTTCCGACAACAAGAGGAAGCGCTGCTGCGCCCGCCCGGGCCTGCAGCGCGCCTTCTTCCCCGTGCCGCACGACCTCTCCACCGTGTTCGTGCCGCGTGGCCCCGCGGACAGGTCGCCGCCGCCGCCCAGGGCGGCCAAGAAGATCCGCCTGCACGTCGTGGGTTGATGCTGATGAAGCCACGCCGCCGGCTCGTCGGAGTCATCAGACACAACAGGATACGCGCCATGCCTTTCTTCTTCTTCATCCGCCAGTACTGATCCATGCGGCGGCGCGCCATTGGCCATTCGCTGCGAGTGCGATCGATCGAGGACAAATTCAAGCTTCCTGACAGGACAGAAGACACGAAGGCCGGCCGGCCGGCCAGTACAAGTACAATCGCCACGCGCCAACATTTCAGCAGAGGTTACCGAGTGAGTGTGTGTGCAGTGAGTGCGCTTCTCAGATGAATCGAGTCTGAATCTGAAATTCTGAATAATCGAATTGTAAATACCACATTGTTGGCTGCGCATGCTTGTCTTTGCGCGTCGAGGGTATAAAGGCCATAATTCCAGGGAATTCACTGCATCAAATTCGCTGCCTGCAAGTGCAAATGGATATTATTGCTCTGGCCGTCTGCCGTTGCCAAACGGACGTTTTCTGTTTAAATTCCTTTGCAGATTCCAGTTAATTTCTGGTAACTGAATCTTGGAGCTGGCGTTAATTAAGCGTGGTTCGCATAAATCTCTGTCCCTTTTTTTCCCTCTGCTTTCAGAAGGGGGAAGAAAAACTGATCGAAGAGGGTCCTGCTGACTCCTGACGACGAGAGCTTCCAAATCGTGTCCGCTTGCTGCAGTCCTTTCGGATGGTACCAAACCTAACCAGAGATGGGTGCATCCACATCCATGCATGTGCATGCATGCAAGAGCTGAACAAATTCAGAGGGCACAGCAGATCTGGAGAAAAAGGCAGTTGAGCAGGAGGCACGGCACTACTCAGATCTGAGCAGGCTTGCAGTTGCAGGCACAGGCACAGGCCGCTCCATTGAGGTCGAGGGTTTTTAATGATTCGCCCATTTGTCACACTGTTCACGTACAATTTCCTGAATATTTAAAGTTTCCTCTGCCACAATGGATGAATGGAGAAAGAACGCAGCAAGGATCAATCAAGTAACTGTGAAAGTGTGTAGATTAGACCTGCTGCTGCCTCTGCCTGATCCTGGAAAAGCCTGCTGGCCCTATCTGGAGAATCTGGCTAGAGAATTCTGAGAAAATCAATATTTTGCCTTTTTATAGGATAGCAGTAGCAATTTGTTTCCTTATAAATTGTTTTTTTGAAAGGAGTATACGTGCAATTTAAATCGGATACCATGCTTATTTTATAAGCCTCTTTAAAGTCGAGCTTGCAATCCTTGCATTTCTTACTTATAATCAAGCCTGGAATAGTAAACATGGTGGCTTGTCACTTATGAGGTTTTCTGATTACTCCCTCCGGTTTTAAACACTTGCGTATACATACAAAAAGTTCAGGACACAAATCAAATTGGATTACTTTCCATTTGGTGAATTTTACTTCAACCAAAACGAAGAAAGAACTACTCCCTTTAACAAGTGTTGTTCTTCTGGGAAATAAGTTATGTCTTAAAAAGGTGTTTAGGTTTTAAATTCAACCAGATATACCATACTGTTTTTTGTCCTCAAATATAGCTAGTTATAGGATTGTCCTAAGTGAAACTACATTAAATTTGATTAAATATGTAGAAAAAAATTAACATCTAACGATGAAAATTAGTATTGTGAAAATTTAACTCATAATTGATCTAATGATGTTAATTTAATTAGTTCCTAGGTCTTGATACTACATATATATATATTTTTATAAAGGAATTACTAACATAGATAGATGAACCTGTAATATATATTTATATCACCGTACTCTGCAAAGTATAAATGATGGAAACATTTGGATGGACATGAGATCGATCGAGTTGGCACAAAGTGAAATTAACATGCGTACCCTTTTCATTTACGCACGCACTACCAAAGCAAATTAACCATTTACTCACTCCGTTTCAAATTATAAGTCGTTTTGACTTTTTTAGTTCATCTATTTTACTACTCCCCTCCGTATATGATTTAGAAGTCGTTTAGGACATGATTGTGCTTACCAAGGAGTGATTAATTATGAGTTATTTTTTCCTGCTCGCCCTTATTAAATACGTTTGCGGGTGTATTACATACGAGAAACTTGTGCAATTGAGACGGCTAGTGCATGGAGGCGTGAGGCTAGCGTCTTTGAGTTCGAAACTCGGCGGATGCATATTTTTTTGCTGTTGCTTGATTTTGCATGGCATTGTTTGGCGCGTGCATGGCGCTTTCGGATTTGTTTTTTTTCGCGTTTGTGCGTGTGGAGGCTGCATGTCCCCTGTTTGAGACACGGCGTGGCCGCTCGCGTTTGGCTGCATGGCGCTTTTTTTTTGCGTTTGGTCACGGCGGAGGCTGCATGGCCTTGCTTCGTCTAGGATTTGGTTGCATGGCGCTCACGATTTCGCTTTTGGCGCTCGTTGTTTTCGTTTTTGGCGCCGATTAAGTCCGACGCTTGGAGTACTCCGCCGCTTGTCTGCCTTTGCTATTGAAACGGAGCGGTCCTTCCTCTTTCTACCTCTTCTCTTTCCACTTAACGCTGCAATGGGTGATTTCTTCCCGGCTTTGATCCGAATGTGCGTTTAGAAGATGACGACGACAATGTTCCCCTGGATCTCAACGAGCTAATAATGGAGGATGACAACAACAATGGTAAGCAACAACGTCAAATTAGTTTCTCAGTTTGTGCCTACTAATGTTTGTTTTTTTACAAGTAGAACATAATGTGGAGGCTCCCGTTGAAGAACAAGTTGAAGAACCCCACCGAAGGAAAGAAATGTCTGAAGAGCTCCGAAAACAAGTTTATCAAGATTTGTTGGCTAGAAGCAACAATGGGAAACTAGGCAAGAAAGATACTACAATTGTTGCTGATCAATTTGGCCTTCACATTCGGTCAGTTCAACATTTATGGAAGCGAGGTAAAACACAACTTGCAAACTCTGTTCCGGTTGTGGTTTCTAGTCTAAAGAAGGGTAAAGTTGGTCGTAAGGCAATCCCTGTTGATTTGGAAGCATTGCGCAACATCCCTCTAAAGGAAAGAATGACTATAGAGGATGTGTGTACCAAACTTAACATGAGCAAATGGAAGATTCAAAAGTATTTGGAAAAAGGTTTTGCTTAGGCGCCACTCTAGTAGCATCAAACCATATCTCACTGAAGCTAACAAGAGGTCTAGATTAAAGTGGTGTGTTGACATGATTAAGAGGGATTTCCTTGCTGATCCAAGGTTTAAGGATTTGTATGACTTTGTGTTCATTGATGAAAAATGGTTCTACCTCTCTCAAAAATCTAAAAAATATTATTTGCTACCCGAAGAAGATGATCCCCATCGGACTTGTAAGAACAAGAATTACATCCCTAGGCTTATGTTCTTGTGTGTTTGTGATCGGCCAAGGTTTAGGGATGTGAATTGTATTTTTAATGGTAGGATTGGTTGTTTTCCACTTGTTCGATATGAACCGGCTATGAGAGGTAATGAGAGAACCGGTCATGTACGGGGAGACTTGGTTATGAAGCCCATAACTTCGATCACAAGAGATGTGATTAGAGATTTCATGATCAACCAAGTGTTGCCTGCCATTCGAGTCAAATGGCCAAGAGAAGATGTGGGCAAACCAATCTTCATTCAACAGGATAATGCACCTTCCCATTTAAAATTGGATGACCCGGATTTTTGTGAGGCTGCTAAGCAAGAAGGATTCGATATTCGCCTAATTTGTCAACCACCCAATTCTTCGGATTTCAACATTCTTGACTTGGGTTTTTTTCGAGCTATTCAAGCAATTCAATACAAGAAGAATGCAAAAACAATAGAAGCTCTAGTTCTAGCAGTGCAAGAGGTAATTTGATCAAATTGTTCACACATATTTCATTTTTTCTTCAATAACAATTTTGCTCATTCATTCATTTCTTGCACACTTGTTTTGTAGGCATTCATAAAATATTCGGCACACAAAGCAAACCGAATATTTCTAACACTACAAAGTGTTTTGATGGAAGCTATGAAGGTGAAATGATGCAACAAGTTCAAGATTCCTCGCATGCAAAAAGAAACATTAGAAAGAGAAGATCGTCTGCCAACTTCTATCCCTTGTGAACCATCTTTGCTAGATGAAGCCGAGGCTACTCTTGCTGCATCAAACAATTAGAATGATGCTAGTTAGTTTAATTAGTAGAGACATCCTTGTAATAGTTAATTAGAACTAAAGCTAGTTATCTTACCGATGCTTTGGCGTCATCCTTTCTCGGCAGCAGCTCCTTGTAATGGTTAATGAAAAGCTCGCAGTCGAACTTGTCGAGGCCGTGAAGCATGGCGTCGATTATGTAGTCCGCGTGGACGAGACCGCAGCGAGAGCATGGCCACAACTGCGAGTGCGCACGATTCCATGCTTGGCGGTCCTCATGCACGAGATGACAACGAGCGCATATAAAAGAGCCCGGCGGCAAGGAATCCGGCACCATCTCCGAGTCTGGCGCGAGCTCCTGCAACTCCAGCGTGATGGAGTCCGGCGCCATCTGCGAGTCCGGCACCACCTCCATCTCCGAGTCCGGCGCGGCGACCTCCTCCGGCTCCTGCGACTCTGGCGAGACGACCTCCTGCGACTCCGGCGAGACGATCTCCTGCGACTCCGGCGCGACGAGCTCCTGCGACTCCGGCGCGACGAGCTCCGGCTTGAACTCCATGGTTTGGAACGACGGGAGTGGGAGGCGAGAGCTGATGAGCGGCGAGCGCGAGAGGCCAGCGGCGAGCGGACAAGCGCGAGCGGTGAGCAGATATTAACGTGGCGCGGGAGCCCGAGCGCGGCGCAATTAACGCGGCGCGGGAGCCGGAGCGAGCGCATGCAGGGGCAACGTCGTCCAAAACTTTGCTTCTACGCTAGAACGACTTCATTTCCTCAACTTTGCTTCTGCGCTAGAACGACTTCTAAATCCTATACGGAGGGAGTATGTATGTAGATACATTATTATATTTAGATGCATAGTAAAATAGATATACCAAAAAAATCAAAACGACTTATAATTTGGAATAGAGGGAGTAAGTATTAAATTATTTCGGCAACGATCAAGTTGCGCCCCATATCTAACCTTTATCACGATACAATAATAACAATTTTTTCATGGAAAACGTCACGATTTTCAAGAGCACTACCGCCCAATCTCAAGAT